TCATCAACAGCTGCTAAACCTAGTGGGAAAACTTCTAGGAGAAGCAGGATATTTACATGGTCTTAAAATGTTTCTCTATAGAATGCTTTTTGGCTGTAAGGGGAAAAATAGTTATTATGAAATAGGTGACAAAAATTAATGTCCCTAATGATGGACGGATGAATATCATGTTCCTCCAGATGGAATACCTCAAGAAGATATAATGACCTTTTGTAATATTCTAGCTGGGCATGCATCACCCATGAGGAAACACGAAACAAATCCAAAATGAGGAAGTTTATAAAAGAGTTGGCCTATATTCTTCAAAAATTTCAATGTCGTAAGAGACAAAGACTAGGTGAGAAACTAGTCTAGATTAAAGGAGACCAGAGTTATGACAACTAAATGTAATATATGAACCTGGACTGGATCTTGTATCAGAGGAAAAAAAATTGCCAGAGCTGTGGTCCCCAACTCCTGGGCTGTGGCCTGGTACCCATCCATGCCTGTTAGGAACTGGGTCACACATTACTGCCTGAGCTCAATCTCCTCTCCCCCTCTCCCCACACCCTGCCACCTATGGAAAAATTGTCTTCCATGAAACTTAGGAACTGGGGGGCTGCATAGTAGGAGGTGAGCGGTGGGTGAGCAAGTGAAGCTTCATCTGTATTTACAGCCGCTCTGCTCCCCATTGCCCGCATCACTGCCTGAGCTCTGCCTCTCCCCCACCACCCCCACTTGTCTGTGGAAAAATTGTCTTCCATGAAACCAGTCCCTGGTGCCAAAAAGGTTGGGGACCGCTGCCACAGAAGACAGAATTGGGATAATCCACAAAATGGAATATGACCAGTACCAATGTTAAATTTAATTTATTAACTGTATTGTGGTTATACAAGAGAATATCCTTGATCTTATAAAACATACACTGAAATATTCAGGGATAAAGGGACATGATATATTCAACACACTTTCAAATGATTAAAAATACAAATAATTATCTCTCTGAGTGTATGTGTATGTATACATGTATGTATATTTGTATGTATGTCTATATAGATATGGAAAACAAACATGGCAAAATATTTCAAAATGGTGAACCAGGGCCCCCAAAACAAAAGGCATGACATAACTCATTTCCCATTCTCAAAGCACTAAGGACTCCTGAACGTGGTAAGACCTAATATACATTTATATTTCAATCCTTTTGCTGCTTCCTGCCGTTAGACATTTACATTTCTTTCTCTAAGCCAGTGCTTCTTAAACTGTGGCGTGGGGAACACTAGTGTCTCACAAACTTATTAGACTCACTCTTGATTCATAATCTACATTGTCATATTTAATAAACTGTAAAACCATGTGTTAAATCAATCTTTTTGATTTTAACTTATCTCTCAATTTTATTTAACCATAAACACCTTTCATAGGAAGACCTATGAACTCTCATGATATCCTAGTGTCCTATGGAACACAGCCTGGAAAATGTTTCTTTAAACCAAACTCAAACCTTTGAATGCCTACTGTTGGTGTTGGGTCTTAGGAACCATCTTTCATTCCAGTGAATTTTGTCAGGAGCAGTGGCCCTGGCTGGTTAACTCTGAGCATATTATCACGGATGTCTTTCTTTGAATTTTAGAAATTGGTAGAGCAAAGATAGAAACAAGACACT